AGGCAGGTTCACACCTTAGGCTCCTTGAAATTTGAGCCTGCGGGCTGGAAGCCCAGATCTCTGTTCTTGGGCAAACATGCCTGGATCCAGCCACAATTTGCCATCTCACTCCTGATTCTAGCCTCAGTTTCTATACCTGGAAAGTGGGGTCTGGGCACTAAGGTGGTGGCAAGCTGACTCATCTGAAGGTCTGAATCAGCAAGGCTTTGCTCTAGTTGCTGTGGAAACTGGGGAGTGCGCCTCCTCCCAATCTGGGCCTCAGGATTCCCTTTGATGTTTGGGGTTGAGCCAGAGCACCTCTAAGAGAAGCCCTGGATGTATTCCCCCTCTGGTACCTCAGTTTCCACTTGTGAGGCAAGGAGAGGTCTAGACTGAATCAAGCACAGGCCTAGAGTGATCCTGGCGGGAAAACAAACGGGGCCTCAGGTGGGTGTCCCTTCTCACCTGCCCTCTTCAGGGTTGGGAGCAGGTGTAAACTTCAGCCCCGCCTCTGTTACTGTGGTGACTGTTGAGCCTGCTCAATGCTGTTTCTGCCTATCAGAGGACAGAGGTGTCCAGGCACCCACAGCCTGGCAAGGAAATGAGGTGGGGCGGGAAGTTGGGGGTTGGGAGGTGCTCACCTGCTTATCTTCAGTCCTAGCTGTGTGGTGGGACTGTGGCAACAGTGAGAGAAAGCCTTACCCATCCTCTAGCCCTCTGGCTATTTCTAGAAGCCCTGATTTCATTTATATCTGCCTAGGTGTGGTGTGCAGCCTCGTACTGGCTATGGGTGTCCCAGCTCCCATCTTTCTGGCTCTAAATGATGTTTCCCCTCCCAGCGTGAGGGGTTTTTAGACTCCTTAGCCAATAAGGGGGAAGTTTCTTATCTCCTATTTCATGATTCAGCTGAACCGTGTGGTAGGGAACTGCCTACCAGCACTGTTTCAAGGCCTCTCTCTCTGTCCCCAGCTGTGTGGTGTGGCCCTGTTGGCGGTGGGCATCTGGGTGTCAGTCGATGGACCATCCTTCCTGAAGATCTTTGGACCCCTGTCATCCAGTGCCATGCAGTTTGTCAACGTGGGCTACTTCCTCATCGCAGCTGGCGCTGTGCTCTTTGCTCTTGGTTTCCTGGGTTGCTATGGTGCTCACACTGAAAACAAGTGTGCCCTCATGATGGTGTGTCAAACCCAGATCCACAGGCCCATAACCAAGGCCCAGGGTCCCCTCACCCTTGACACCAGGCCCTGGGGGTCCCCAAACACTGCTCTGGACTCCAGAGGCTTCAGCAAAAGGGGATCCCTGACTCCTTTTTATTGGGGGGTGGCTTAGGGCAAGGAAGGCACAAGGGACTGTCTCTCCCTAAAACTCAGGCCCCTGTTCCTCACTCAGTTCTTCTTCATCCTCCTCGTCATTTTCATTGCTGAGGTCGCAGCTGCTGTGGTCGCCCTGGTGTACACCACGATGGTGAGGAGCAGGGACAGGGCAAGGGGGAAGACTGGGCAGAGCCCTGGAAGTGGGCTGTGGCCTGTGAGTGGCCACTTTCCCCAGCAGGCCCTAAACACTGGCCTGCCCCACGCAGGCTGAGCACTTGCTGACGTTGCTGGTGGTGCCTGCCATCAAGAAAGACTACGGTTCCCAGAAGGACTTCAGCCAAGTGTGGAACACCACCATGGAAGGGGTAAGGTGGGCGGGGGAGATTTTGGGTAGGGAGAAAGAAGCAAGGCCCTACTGACCACCCTGCCCTCCTTGTCTCCAGCTCAAGTGCTGTGGTTTCAACAACTACACAGATTTTGAGGACTCTCCCTACTACTTCAAGCAAAACTTCACCTTTCCCCCATACTGTTGCTTTGATAATGTCAATGGCACATCCATGGAAACCTGCACCAAAGAGAAGGCCAAAGACAATATTGTACAGGTGTGGGCTAGCATGGAAGTTTAATGGCCTCAGGATGCAGGATGAGTGTGGGGCAGCTGCTGACTAAAGATGCTCTCTTCTCTCCCCCAAGGGTTGCTTCATTCAGCTTCTACATGACATCCGAACCAATGCAGTCACTGTGGGTGGTGTGGCAGCTGGAATTGGGGGCTTGGAGGTAAGGGTGTGAGGAGGTTGGTGCAAGACCAGGGTTGGACCAGGGCTGTTTGACCCATCTCTGAGGCCTCACTGGAGACAGACTTCTGAACAGCTTCATGAGGGTGTCTGGGCACAGGGGACCAAGACCTAAGTACCCTGGTCACATGTCCTCATCTCTCCCTGTTCCCTCCCCACCAGCTGGCTGCCATGATTGTGTCCATGTATCTGTACTGCAATCTGAAATAAGTCTGCTTCTGCCTCCACCACTGCTGCCACATTCGAACGAGAAGAGACCGTGGTGCAGCCAAGTGACCGTGACAGTGTGGCACACGATCCAACAGTATCACTTAGGCCGGAGTGGACCTGGCCCTGCTCTTCTGGACTTGGGTCAAATAGGAACCACCCCTTCAGGCTGTGCATGACTTTACCTTCCATTGGTGGGTTTGGGACCCAACTGTTCCAGGGCCTCTAAAGTGGCCAGCCTCTGCCTCCGGGCTGTCCCTTAAACCTTGATTCCTCTCAGGCCAAGGGGAACTCTTGCTGATCCCAGCACTCCACTGGGGAACAAGAGAAAGCTACCCTAAAGCATGGGCAGATGCAAGACCGGCAGTCATGGGGCAGGTGTGTAGAACTCCAGATCTCATAAACCAACTAAAATGTTTCCATTTGGACTCTTTTTCTGTATCCATGGGGAAAGGGGCCTGTCTTGCTTAAATTGGCCTCAGATGTAGCCAGAAGGCCACTGGGAAGGTAGCAGAAGGAAGTGGGATGGAGGTGGGTGGCTATGTCTCCCTTTCATTTGGATCCCAGCCTTGCGATGGAATCTAACAGTGGGATGGCCAAGAGGGCGCTGAGGGACGAGCTGGGGGCTGGGCCAGTCGGCCGTCCTACAGTGTGGGAGGACTTCGCCCGGAAACTACTCCCTCCTGGTTGGGAATATTGGACTGAAAGGCTATGAAAATAACAAGTTTGTGCCCAAGTGGGGGTTGGGAGACCAGAAATATTGTCAGAGAAATGGGAGAGGACTACTTCCTAGACTCTGGGAAGTCCTTCAGAAGCCCCCATCAGAGGAGAGGAGCCAGGGTCCTCAGCGTTCCCACTCACTGTCCCTACTTGGGAATTTCAGAAAGAACTTCATTTATTCTTGGTCTTGGCCTGCCTGATGCTCTACAGATATGATCTTTTTTAGTACTAACCACTACCATGATAGAACCTGGGCCTAAAAAGGCCAATTGAGTTGTTCTAGCCCCACAACTTTCTGTGAAGAGCTGAGCCTGGATTTGGGCCCAGGCCATCCGACTCAGAGCCTGGTGGGGTCCTGGCTTCTGTGGTGACAGATTTACTTGAAGGCCAGAGTATCCCAGACATAGATCTTGAACTGGGAGTGATAGCACTGAGGCAGGCAGGCTATGGCTGGAGGATACAGCGTCTGCTACTGAGCAAAGCCCAGCCTGGCAAACCAGTCCTTCTTACCTCCCTTTGACCCCAAATTCCTCTTCCCAAATTTTTTCTAAGGCAACTCAGAACTATCACCCCTGGCTGAGGCCAAAAAGGAACAGCAACCTGGCCATAGCCACACCCAGTTCCTGACAACTAGTCTGCAAGGCCCAGATTAGCAGCTGACTGGTGCGGGGGTGGCACTGGGCAGGGCAAGCAATCAGCCCCTCCCACCTTCCACCGCCTCGCTGTGCCTCTCACACCCATCATCCCCAGGAGCCTACATGGGCGGCTGCAGGGAATTTGTTTGCCCAGGGCGGCCTCCACATCATGGGCTAATTGCTCCTCAACCCGGCTGTTGTGGCACGTCAAACACTACCTCCAGCTCCAGCAAACACTGGAGGCGTCAGTGTGGCGAGATATGCCCAAGCCACTCACCACCTGCGCCCTCACCGCGCTGGGCTCCAGGCACCGGTCAGGGAGGTGGGGCAGAGAGCTGGGAAGCAACAGGAGTTCCAGTCGGCTCCTGCCTCCCTGGCCAAGGCTCTACAAAAGGAGAACACCTGGCTCAGCTTGCAAGGGCTCTGCAGACGGCCCTGAAGACTTCTGATCCTGTTTCTTCATAGAGCCCTTAAATGTCCTGCCCCCCCTACCTTGTGGAGGCCAGTCTGCCTTCCTACAATGTGGGAGGACTTTGGCCTGAAACTACTTCCTCCTGGTTGGGGGCACTGGACTGGAAAGCTATGAAAATATCAAGTTTGTGCCCAAGTGGGGGTGGGGAGACCAGAAATATTGTCAGGGAAATGGGAGAGGACTACTTTCTAGGCTCTGGGAAGTCCTCCAGAAGCCCCCATCAGAAGAGCCAAGCTCCGTAGCCTTCCCACTCAGGCAAAGCCCCATACCTATCTTATCCATTCCTTCTCGTTAATCCCATCCATTTTCTGGTGCTTCTATGAATAATTTAGATCTTCCCAAATTCTCTGGGTCATGGGGTGGGTGAGAATCTGATGAAAACAATGGCATTTCTCCAGAAAAATACCCAGATGTGGAATCTGCAAAGTGCCCTAAGAGCCACAGACACCCTAGCCTTCTGAATGATGCCCACCCAGTTCTGTCTTGCTCCCTTTCCACCCCCACTATATTCACCTGCTTTCCCATCACCTCCTCCACCCACACATATCCCTTTTTGCTCTCTCTTGCTCTATCTCTGGGGACAAGTGCCTGGGAGTAAACAGTCTTGTGGATAACAATAGAGAAGGGGCCTAGGATTGCTGCTCCAATCTCAGCCCAAGTCAGGTGGGGCTTCAGTCAGAAGTTCTAGGGTGGAGCCTAGGGAAAAACCTTGGTCGAGACTTGGGCATCCCCTGGTGGCCAAATGGTCCCAAGTGAAAGATATACCCAGTGGAGGACTGTAAGAAAAACTCACCAATCATCACAATCATTCTTTCTCCTGTCCATCTTTCTCTCTTTCTTACACACACACACACGCATGCACTCACAAGACACATTCCCAGAGGTTTTCTCCTTTTTTAATCAATGACCACTTTATCCACCTGGACAAAGAGAAGGCTGTGAAGAGGCCTGGTTCAGTGTCTGAAGGTTTCTGAGTGAGTCTGCATCAGCAGGCAGGCCTGCCCATGGCCTGGGCACAGAAGTTTCCTGAGTAAGAACCAGCCCCACCCTCAGGGCAGCACCCCAGTTCAGAAAGGAACCAAGGCCCTCCAGGCTTCAGCCTGTTTCCAAGGCCCTAAGGACAGTCAATAAATAGGTTAGATTCTGAGCCAGGCCAGGGAAGAATACACAAAGGGCAGGGTCCCAGTGATTCCCAGGTCCTTTTCTGGGACTATCCTGTCCTTCCCCAACAAGGAAGTAAATAAATAGACCTCCAACTCAGGAACAGGGGCACTGGAGCAGGGGAACCCTCCCCATGGAGTTAGTAATTAAGTCTCATGTTAAAAACAAACCAGCCGCAGCCCCTGCCAGTGTCTACAAAATCCTACAGGATGGGGTGAAGGGCTAGCCTGCCTGGGGGTACACAGTACCCAGCCCTGCAGGGTCCTGGAGGAGGTCTCATGTCTGTTCTGCAACTCCTGGGGCTCCTTCCTCCTTTAGGGGTGGCTCCAGAAAAATTGGGGTGATTGATGGTGGCTTCTTCACGCTAGACAGATAATAGAAAATGTATAGGAAAGAGGTCATTAGCTATGTCTGTGTCCCATAATCCCACTAGTCTCCCATTTCCCAGGGCATGAGTCACTCACGAGTAGGGGGAGGCTGGTACCCCCACAACCAGGAAGTGGTTCTTCTTCCGAAACAATCTCCAGAGGCCCCGGTGGTTGCCACGCACATCCAGGTCCCAGATATGGAGGCACTGGTTGGGGTACGGTAAGGGGAGAGGCACGGGTCAGAGAGTTGTGGGGAGAAGCCACCGAGGACCCTTAGCCCAGCACCCACCCCACCTCAGCAGTCTTCTCAATTTGCAAGAGGTAGCATCTTCTACAACATGGATTTGGACAAGCGGGTTAGAAGAGGAGTTTCTCAGAGTGTGAAGATAAAGTTCTGCAGAAGAATATTACAGAACAAAGGCTCCCTGCATCTTGTGGGAGGGGTACGCCTGGGTTGGGTGTGGTCTGGGCACCTTGGCAAGCTGGGTCCAGGCGGTAAAGTCATCATCCTTCTCCATTCGGATGAAGGCCACATAGGTGTGACCCTCTGTGTCTGGCAGGAAAGAGTCTTCACAGGGGTTCTTGCTGTGGTCCAGAACCTCAGCTTCACTGCAGGGGGTGGGGGGAGAAAGCCCAAGACAGGGCCCACTTCATGGGAGTGTCACACAAGGCCCTGTGCTTAGTTTAATGCTTTGCTGTTACCATCTTGAAATTTTAAATTTTTGATAAAGGGGCCCTGATTTTTGTTTTGCACACAAATTATGGGACTAAGACCTCTAGTATTTTACTCTTCTTCATTCCCTGCCACATACCTGAGCAGCCTGTGAATTTCCACTTCATAAGCTTCCTTCTTCAGACTGAAGGGGAAAGAAAAAAGGGTCAGGAGAAGGGGTGGTGTCTCAGGTCCCAGGCGCAGGGTAAGAGGTCACATGGGAATTGGGAGGCAGTAGGGCTGGGATAAAAACCAGGCCTCAGAGTTGAAAGGGATTGCCAGAGGCTGGTCACCAAGGCTCTGAGATACCATCTTGTTTGCCCTGTCCCCAACCCCCACCTGTCCACGTTCCTGAGCTGGACACCTGGAACCGTGTTGAACTTGTGCTTCTTGAAGTAGGCCTCCTGGAATGAGTATGAGAGTGAAAATCAGGGTCTTAACATTGTCTGGCCTACACCCACCCACTGACCCACCACATATCCACAGTTGAGTCCTGGACCTTTAAGAATCCCTCTAATTCCTTCCTGTCTTCATTCTGTGCAGCATCCTTGGCAGGCTCTTACTAGCTTTAATTTGGGCTTCACTGTTGCTAGAGAGCTTATGCCACATGGCAGCCCATGCTACTGACCCCTGAGCTAGTCCCTGTCTTCAGTACTCTTCCCTGAGCCTGCTGTTCTAGAGCCACAGAAGGCAGGGACAGGCCCTAGAGCAGGCTGTGGGCAAAGGGACAGGCTGGGCTGGCAGGGAAGTGCTGTGACTAAACTACTGAGAGTGGAATGGGGTGCCTGCCCCTCTCGGGGAGATGAGTGGGGCTCTGGTATTAGCCAGCCTCTGAGAGCCCTTCTGGCTTCTAGGAGGTTCCACACTGGAAGCTGTCCATTCCTTTAGGCTGGGCTGTTGTCTCAAGGTGTCCTTTGCTATAAGTGGGGAGACCTCAGACACATCCAGGTAGAGTGTGGGGGCCTGGGGAACTCCCTATTCACTTCAGGCTGAGGCTCGAGCCTCAACACTTGCAAGAAGAGAAGAGGGCAGAGCTTACAGGGCTAGATAGGTGCTTACTGGCACAAATACCCTCCCCACACCCACAGTCCAGGGCTAAGAATAGTAATAATAAAAATAATAGCAGCTAGTCATTATATAATGCTTACAGTTCAAAGCATTTTATATATATTAACTCATTTAAACCTTCTAACATCAAAACTCTATGAAGTAGGTAGCATTTTTATCTTCATTTTACAAATAAAGAAACTGAGGCAAAAGAGGATAAGTAATTACCCCAAGGTTACATAGCCAGTAAGTGGGAGAGCTGGGCTTGCCCCAGAGTCCCCAGTCTTGCCCTGTCTACCATACTGTGCCCCCCTCCCCCACATCCCTGCCTCCCACTCACATGGAAGTAACCATTCATGTTGAGGCCGACAATGCCGAAGTGGTAGGATCGGGAAACATCAGGGATGATGCACTCTCGGCCTCGGCGTTGTTCCGGCATCCGCATCCACATGTCCCAGTCCCAGAGCTGGGGACACAGAAGACTATGAAGGTTAAGAGGTTTGGAGCTAGAAGGGGACTCCAGCCCACTCACCCTACTACCAGGGCACCTTTTCTGGTGTGGGCCACTTGGGCTCAAGCTCCTCCTTGTACAAGGACTTCCTCAGCACCCAGCCCAGGCCAGGCATGGTCTCCACACGGTATAGCAGTGCTGGGTCCTCAGCCGTGTGTTCATACCCCTGGGGACGGGGGGCCATGGTGGGAGGTATCAGTCTGGTACCTATACAGACTCCCCAGCTGGCCCCTGTCTACTCAGCCTACCTGGTCATTCCAGGCAGAGATACAGTACACACTGTCATCCTCCTCCAGCAGGTGGATGGACTGGCTCAGGAAACTGAGAGAGGCAGGGGCCAAGGTTTCAGGAAAGGGCAAGGACAAACCCAATCACACAGTGATGCTGGAAAGGCTGGCGATGGGACTCAGAAATCATGCCTCCTTGGCCCTTCCCCCAAATTCCCACTGTCTCCATTCATCCTTCCTACTCTCTGGTCTAACCCTGACACTTGCCATCCCAGCTTTGCTCCAGCTTTTTACCCACTTTTGAACTCACTTCTTCCAGAAAGCTCTCCAAGACACTCCACTGCTTCTTCCCTAGAAACCCAGGCAAACAAAGAGGCCTCACATGGCTTACAGCAGCTACATGGAAGGGCACTCCCCTCACCCGAAAAAGTCCACAGCAATGTCCAGGTCCTCTTCCAGAACCACAGCAAACTTGGCTTCCTGCAGGGGGTGGGGAACACGACCCCAAGGGGGCCTTTCCCATCCTGGGTCTCCTTCAGCCCCATCCCCCTTCTCAGGCAGTACTGCCCCCATTTTCCAGATCAGGAGGATGAGACAGAGAGGGGCATAACATGACCAGACTTTATGCCCATATTTCCCCTCCCGAGGCCCAAAAGTTTTGTCCTTACTACTCACCGGAAACAGGTTGAAAGTGGCAGTGAGGCTGGCCTTGTAGTGCTGGTGGGGAGTGGGAAAGGGCCTATGAGCTCTGGGGTGGACAGCAAGGCTGGGGTGTCCACCCCTCTGTCTCACCTAAGCAGTACCTGAGACACGCGAGCATTCTTGATGCTGATGGGAGTGTGCTGGATGCCCCTCAAACCAAACAGTGCCACCACATCCATCGGCTCCTGGGGAACACGGTCACGGTCACCGTGTGAACCATCTTCACCGGCCCACCTCTGCAGGCTCAACTGTGCCAAGCCCTTCACATGGCACAGCCCCTGCCTGGGTTTTCCCCCTGGCCAGTCCTTGGTGATCATTGTTACTCGGCACCCACAGCCCCGTGCTCTGCTCCACCTGAGCCCCCAAGTCCCACTCACCTCATAGTAGCCGTCAATGAAAACTGTTATCATCTGGGGAGACACCCCCTGGGCTGACAGCAGAGAGCGCAGCATCCTGGGGAATTATTTAGGGAAAGGTTAGGCCTCTTTGTCCCCCAACTCAGAGCTCCCTGTGCTTATGGATGGGCCCAGACTCCCCATGGTCTCCTAAAATCAAAATCTATTGCCTTTCTGCCTACCTCAAAGGTTCTTCCTGCAGGTAGATGAGCCTGGGGCTCCCACCTACTAACTGCACATACAGCCCACTCCCAAGCTCACCTGTACAGGTAATTAGGCCGATTCCCTGCAATGACAGCCACAGGCACACTGAGGACCTTGTTGTCTGGGAGCTGAAGGAGAAACAGCTTTTAGCTCTTGACTCACTCCCTCTTCAAACTGTGATCCCCACCTAGGGAACAGTTCTTGGGGAAGAAGGGGACCAGAGTAAACAGGGAAAAGGCAGAGGGTCTTCCCTGCCCTGGCCCCTCCACACACTCAGCCCAACTCTGACTCCAGGCCTTTGCTCACGTGGTCCATCCCTTCTCCCCAACTAGGACACCCCCTGTCTTTCCAAGATCAGTATAAATTCTCAGTTGCTGGTTCCCTCAGGCTGGAACAGGGAAAGCCAAACTTTGATCTTTCCTAAGACCCCCCCATAAGAAAGAGTCCAAGCCTCAGTGCCTACGGCCCCACTCACTGGGTCAGGGCTGAACTCGATGGGCGTGGGGTCCTTGCAGCTGCACACACTCCCATAGCCCTCAACTTTGCTGCAGAAGCGCCGGCGGCGACGATTTAGCTCCGTGTCTGCCCAGTGGCATTCTGCCTCTGAGGGAGGGATGGGGTTGACAGGATGGGTCATGACATTCTGGTTGAGAGTACCACAGGCACCCAGTCAAGATAGTGTCACAAAGAGGATTCAAATGCCCACCCCCAGCCCAGGCACTGCCCTGGAGCCCAACCCCCACTAATCCACCTTCAGCTGAGCTCAGTGGCACATCTGTCTTCAGCAGGACTGGGTCTCCCCAGGATGAGAGGGCAGGTGACTTAGAATGTTTCTCCCCAAGGACAGGACCTGGCAGGGGTAGGAATGATGGGGCAAATGGGGGCCCAGCCTCCTGTTCTGGAGCTTCTTTTCATCTCTACTCACTTCTATCCAACCACCACCCCTGGCTCCTATTTGCCCCCCACCCCACTCCATATCCTGGGTTTCTGCTCCTCCCAAGACTATGATACTCCAGGGTAGATGGCTTAGGGTGCTGGCACCTCCTTTTCGTCCCACGAAGGCCCAGGTGTCCCTCCAGCCCAGAGCAGGGCCAGCCTGGCTTCCCAGGCTCCTCAGCAGAGTCTTGGCCGTGTCCTTGAGGTGGAAAGAACCCTCGTCCTGGGAGATAAGAGAAGGTGGTCAGCCTGACTGGCATGGTTCCAGAAGACCTGGCCTTATGGAGCCCTATGTGTCAAGCACCATGTAAAGCCTTTTACTCACATTAGCTCACTAAAGTATAACAATCTGCTGTGGTTACTATCATTTCATGGATAAGAAAACCAAAGGCTTAGAGAGATTGTGGGAATCATTCAAGGTCACCAGGCTAATAAATCCTTATGGTGATCCCACATAATCTGCACCTCTCCACCCACTTCTCACCATTCGTCTCCTCCCCTCCCTCATTCTGCTCTAGCTCCAGTGGCACCCTCGCTGTTCCTTTAAATTAAGCATGCCAAGCACCTTCCTACTTCAGTGCTCTTTGCACTTGCCATTCTTTCAATCTAGAATGCTCTTCTCCAGATGTTCACCTGGCTCTCTCCTCGCTTCCTCTGGCTTTCTGTTCCCGTGTCATTTCCTTACAGAGGCTTTCCCTTTGCTAAAATGCAACTGCCATCACTGTGTCTGCCTTGGTTCATTTTCTTCATATAAGTTTTCATTGCCTAACAGTATACATTTGGTGGTTTTTTGTTGATCTTGCCCTGCTGGAACATAAGCTCCATAAAGGTAAGAACTCAGTCTTGCTTCCCATTGTATCCCCAGCATCCAAAGCAGTGCTTGGCACAAAGTAGGTGTCAATAACTATTTGCTTAATTAATAATAACAAGGCTAGATTGGAACTTATATCACCTTCCTCCAGAGGCTCTTCCCACTGTGCTATATTAGAGGCACAGAACTGGGGCCGTGGTAGGGGTTGGAGCTGGAGGTATAGCAGATGAGACCAGGGCAGAGTCACTGACCTTGACGGTACAGATGAGCACTCGACCAGGTGCCACCATATTGAGAAACAACACCATGGCCTCATCCTCATGAGGTGAGTATGTATCGAACACGCGTTTTGCCATCACATGGCCCTGGCAGGGGACACATGTTTTATGAGTTAAGTGCTACCAGCAAGGAGGGTGTAGCTTCAGCCCTCTAGGTCCCCCACCCATAGAACCTCACCGTGGCCTGGTTGAGGACGATGACGTGGATGCCCCGGCCCTGCTCCCGGGCCTCGTCCTCCAGTACCTACAGAGGGCAGAGACGAAGTCCAGCTCTTCACTATGGCACTCGAGGTCTGTCTGTCTTATGGGCACTTAAAAAAACAGCTGCATAACACCTCCCCCTGCCCGTGCCTCTGTTTCACAGATCTATTCCAACCCAGTTTGAATGCCACCTCTTCTAGAAAACCTCCATAGCACCCCTATCAAAAGATATCAAATCTTTCTACAACCCTCTCCTTCACAGTTTTCATGGCTTTTTGAGCCCTTGATTGCCTCTCCCTCATGACATTAGATATCCTTTAGATTGAGCCCCTCAAAGTAGGGCCAGGTCTGATTACCTCAGGGACCCCAATGCTGGGGACAAGGCTAAGGTCCAAGAAGGGAGCAGGAAGTAATTATGAAATAATAAATAATCTGCCTACTAACATTAATGATTACTTTTGATAATATCCCACTACACCTAAGACATTTCACATACTTTCCATTTAATCTTGACAAGTTAAAGTCACCAGTCTCAGTCTACAAATAAGAAACTGAGGCCTCCAAAGGCACACACCTAGAAATTGGCAGAGGTGCAGTTCCCTCTCAGACAGTAGACCCCAACGCCAGTGGACCATGCCCTGAGCAGACAGATTAACTCACCAGACACGGGCCCACTCACCGTAGTACCATCCACAGCCACATATACTTTGCTGCGGCTTGAGTATACCTCCACATCCAGGACCCGTCGGGGACTGCTGCCTCTGCGCCGTGGATGCTCCAATCGGCCCAGGGCCTCATCTGTGGGAGTGCAACAGGTCTTGGAGATAGTCTCTCCAGCAGAGTCTCATACCTTGGAATCTGCTTGCTAGTTCATCTGTGAGATCCCAGGGGACCCCACCCACCCCACCCCTAGCCAATCCCATCCCCAGCCTGGCTCCACCATAGTCTTGCTCCGGCTCCAGGTCTTCATTGGCTTCGCTGATTGCTCGCCGTGTGTCCAGGATCAATTTGATGTTGACAATGACAGTCACCAGTAGGAAAAGCACAGCCCCTGTCTGAAGGGAGGGATGGGGAATACTAAAGAGGGCAACCCCTCCACTGAGGGTCTTCCAGAAAGGAGGGGCCTGGCTGCGGTGAGGACACACGGCAAACCTGGGCCCTGTCTCTCCAGCTGTCTGCCCAGCTTTACTCCCTAACCAGGATTAAGTTTCATAGCCACCTCCTGCAGGGAACCTCCCCTGACCCCTTCCCTTTCATCAGGGCTCACCCTACCCAGAGCTCCTATATTCTTCCATTTGAGGCCTTGATTTCCTTGGTCCCCTCCACAATTAGTCGCTAGAGATGAAGCCAGTCCCAGAGAACCAAGCTGGGGATCAGAAGACCTGGGCCCTAGCCCTGACTGTCTGACAGATGTGTGCCCCTGGGCAAAGCCTTCCAGATCAGATTTCAGGTTTCTGTTAGAAACCTAGGAAGCTGCACCCTGGGTTGTGATTCCAGAACTCTGGGCCCAACCACTACCTGGTAGGGACATGACACAAAGAGGGTCCCCCTCTAGGAACCTGCTGAGTTCCTAGAGGAACTTTCCAGAGTGGTGGCAGCCAAAGCTAGGTTCAGATGCCCATGATCTCAGCTGGGCAAAGCTGGGAGGAAGCCCCTGGGAGGTTTGGGACATCTCTATACCTGACAGAACCTCCGCAGGGCTCGCTGGTTAGTCAGTTTATACTTCCAGGTAAGATACCAGCTCCGCTTCTTCCGAGCCCCAAAGGGCTTGATGAGGGGGTTGGGCTTCCAATCGTCCATGCCGGACTTGGGGGGTCACCACTGTCCTGACCAACCCATACCTTCAGGAACCTGAGGGGACCAGAGGTTCACATGGGGTAAAGTGTCCCTCCCAAAGTCTGATGCCTCTTGGGGATTTGAGGGAAGACCTCCCAGCAACTCTTCCCTCCAAGCATCATGCTGTGTGATCTGGGGAAAGTGACTCAACTTCTCTGGAAACCTTCAGAGGTGTCAGATCACCTGGAAACTCCCGAGACGGGCACTGCCAGGGCAACCCAGGGCCTCAAGGGTGGAGGCCAAGGAATCGACTCTCAAGGATCATCAGCCCCTTCCAGCCCTGGGTAGGCAAAGGGCAGCGACCGCTTCCCCGAATCCACCACCCCCTTCCGTCCTCGCCCCCTCCCGTCTGGCCCCGCTCTTCGCCTTCCAGGGCTCGAGCTGCCGGGGATTCGGGAGAGCTGGCCCGCCGCGCCACTCCTCCCGGACCCCCGCCCAGAGGCACTCACGGTTCAGGGAGCCCGGGCACAGCTCCGGCCCTCCTCCGGCCCGCATTGCTCGGCCCGGCGAGCTGCGGGCCTCCGCCTCCTCCATGCCGCTCGCGGCCCCGCCTCGGCCCGGCCCGGCCCGGCCCGGCCCGCCTCCCGGCTTCCGCCGCCGCCGCCGCCGCCGCCGCCGCGGGGTGAGAGGGCGGCGGGCGGTGCTTAGGGTGGCGGCTGGTGTCAGCAGCTCGCTAGTACCGCGAGTACTCCGCCCCTCTGCAGTTTCACAGCCGGCGAGCGGGGTGCCTGCTGGGAGAAAGCAGACCCCCGCCCGCCCCAGGGCAACCGGTTGGCAGACCCAATTCAAGTTGGAGTCCTACAGCCAGGACTAGAACACAGGCTCACCAGGGTCAGGAAGACTGCAGGCCTTGGACACATACTTGGCTTGGGCAAGGCTGCACCCAAGTCCAGGGCTTGCATGGTCTTTGGAGGCTAAGGGGAATTAATCTAGTTCTACCACTCATCTGAACCTTGGGCAAGTCACATCTCAGGCTAGGTTTGCCTCTCTGTGAAATGGGGATATTCCTATATGATGCTTTTATGCTAGTCACTGTTCTAAGCACTATTCCACAACAACCCCATGAGGTGGGTGCTATTACTAATGAGTTCCAATGTCATGAAGCTGGGAGAGCTAGAATTCAAACCCAGGTGACCTGGCTCCAGATTTCACTCTTACTCCCAGCGTTCTACTGATGATAATACTTATGAAGTTGTGAAGGTTAAATGAGATCATGCATATAAAGCACTTAGCTAACAGTGGTTATTCAACTACAGTTTGCATCAGAATCACTTTGAGGGTTTCTTAAAATACAGATTGCAGGGCCCCATTGCTAGAGTTTTTGATTAAGTAGTCTAGGGCAGAGCAGAATATTGCATTTCTAACAAGTTTCAGGTTATGGTGAGGCTTATTTGAAATGAGAGGGTAGCCATGGAACAGTTTTAAGCAGGGGAGCAGTACAGGCTGATTAGAAATAACCTTTACCATTTTGTGGAGAATGTAGTAAGAGCAAATGTCCTAAAAGGAAACAGAGGAAGCCAAAAGACTGGTTAGACTCTTTTGAGCTCTCCATATTTTATCTGCTTCCTAAATGGTGGTATGGTACCCTCCAAATGTTAACAGAATTTGCCTTAGGAGTTGAGACAATAGATAATTTTTCCTAAGAAGTATATATTAGAGAACAGAAGAAAACACAACACATTACATTAGCATTTGAAAAAGATGTCCCTCAAGGTTCCTCCCTAACTCTCTTCTCTCCTCAAATTCTACATGGAAGATCTCATCCACTCTCCTTACTTCTGTTACCATCTAGATTCCTAAAGTCATTTCTGCAGTCCTAACCTTTCTCCTCAGCTCCAGGCTGACCTGTGTCCAGCTACCAGCTGGACATCTTCACAGGGCTAACCAACTCAATGTAACTCCTGATGGAATCATCTCTTCCCACTCCCAGACCTCCTCTTGGGCTCCTGTCTTTGGTGAATGGCATCAGGCCAAACAGCCGGGAGTTACCCTTGATTCCTTGTCTCTCCAGCAACCAGTCCAGGTCTGTTTGCTCACCATTATATCCTCTGCACCACACAATGGCTAGCATATAATAGACTCTCCATAATATTTATTGAAATAATTTGTTTTTGAACAAATACTTATTGAATGCCACTATAAATAAATGAATGTAACCAGTCGCCAAGTCTTGTCACTCTTACCTCCTTAAGTGTCCGTCATTCTGGTCTAACGCTTCTCCAGCCTCACAACCCCTAGCCCCTGGTTCAGGCCATTTCAGCCCATTTCTTGCCTTCCAACTGGTCTCCTTGACTCCAGATTTTTACTCCTCCAATCCTTTCTCCTTGCAACATCCAAAGTAATTTTTCAAAAAGGCAAATCTTGTTTTGTCAGTTGATGATTTAAAACCCTCCTGTGGATCAAGAGATACTAAGGGAAAATACATTACTTAAAATTACACAGTTAACCATTAGATGAACTAAAAATAGAGAAATATACAGGTCCAACTGAAGAAGGAAAGTACAGAGTGTGAGGTAAATCCATATTTATCATAATAGGATGTCAGTAGACAATGTTTAAAATTAAGAAATAAGGATGGGTGGGAAGGGACAGATAAGGGGAAAAAAGGGGGGCATTACTATTAGCAGACATAATGTAGGGGGAGCACAGGGAGGGTTGTACAACACAGAGAAGTAGTGACTCTATAGCATCTTACTACACTGATGGACAGTGACTGTAATGGAGTATGTGGGCGAGACTTGGTGATGGGGGGAGTCTAGTAAACATAATGTTCCTCATATAATTGTAGATTAATGATACAAAAAAAATTAAGAAATAGTGGTAGAAGCCTATGTGGAGTTATAGTTATAACCACCAGAAAAAACAGCTAAAAGTGGTTTCCTTTGGGGAGTGGGACTAGAGGTGAGAAAGGATAGAACTGGGATAACTTGTCTTTTCATTTATAAATCCTTCTATAACCATGGGCTGGACTTACTTGGATATAAAATCAAAATCAAGCCAAAACAAAAATAATTTTTCATGGCTCCTTATTGTCTGTAAAATATTGGTCCAAGCACTATAGAACCATCTTCTCTAAACGTGTTACTCAAAATGTGATCTTCCGACCAGCAGCATGGTCATCACCTGGACCCTGTTAAAAATGTAGAATATCAGGTCCACCCCAGATTTACACAATCATAATCTGCATTTTAACAAGACTTGCAGATAATTCATAAGTACAGTCAAGCTTACACAACGTGGTTCTTCAGGATCAAGCAAGATCTGGCCCACGTGGATCTCTGCGGCTTCAATACTAGTTGCTCTTCATTGGCCAGAAAAACTTTACTATTACTTCTTTAGTCTAAATTCTGTGACTGCTTCTGGGGGTGTATGTGGGTGTGTCAGTGGCAAGCTAAATTCTAACCACTGTTTTAGACCCAGCAAATCTTGTTTTTGTCAGTTGATTATTTAAAACCCTCCTGTGGATCAAGAGATACTAAGGGAAAAAATATTACTTAAAATTACACAGGTAACCATTAGATGAACTAAAAAAAGAGAAATATACAGGTCCAATTGAAGAAGGAAAGTGCAGAGTGTGAGGTACTTCTACTCCAGAAGGCCTTCCAAAACCCTCTGCCGCTGTTACCACGGTTCCTTAAACTCCCACATCCCTAACTGAAGATGCTTAGCCTTCATGTTTATTAGGCGCTGGCTGTGCACCGGGCTCCATTCAGTGCCAGGGTGGAGAGAAGGCGCCTAGCTCTCGAGTGCTCCTTCAGGTACAAATCCAAGGTGGCCCAGCGGCACCCATCTCAGGGCTAGAGGTTGTGCGCGCCGCACTCCGACACACCCGCGGCTGTGCGCGGCTTCTCTGAGCGTTACGGCGCTCTCCTCCCACCCCCGCGCGGCGCGAACGCGGACCCGCCGGTTCAGCTCCGCACTACCGGCGGAGACGGGAGAACCCGGGAACCAGACCCCGGCGTCCGCTCGTCCAGCCCTGTTCAGGCGTAGGCCCGCATGGAGGGGACTCCGGAGTCCCCGACGCCTGACCTGCGAGACGTGGAGGGCAAGGTGGGCAGGAAGACCCCTGAAGGGCTGCTCCGCGGACTACGAGGCGAGTGGGAGCCGGGAACCTCTGGCTCCCTGCTGCTCTCGGGGGCACCCAGCACGGGCCACGGCCTGGGGGACAAGATCATGACGCTGAGGATGGAGCTGGTGAGTGTGAGCTCCGTGGGCTGGCGGGGAACGAGACCCCAGTGTCCGTCGGCCAGAAGGGAGGGACTCACACCCCCAGAGTTGGGCTGGTGAGGAGGGATGGTCAGGATCCCACCCAGACTAACCCTTAAACCCTGGGCTCCATTAATCCTCCCCACCCCCACCCCTGGCCCAGGGTGAGAGGGGTGTTAGTGGGTCCTGAGTACTTGAGGTGGGAGGCACCGACTCTTGGAAGTTTTTCCTGCCAAATGATTGGAAGGGGAGGAGTGAGGACTGGGAAGCACTGAGAACCTGGCACAGCACAAATCTCCCTCCCACCCCTCACCGCGGGGCCACCATGATAAGGCAACTCGTTTTTCGTCCTGCAAACTGGGCCCTGGGTTTGTTCCTCTGAGGTCCCAGTATTCATGCTAGGATTCAGCACAGAAGAGATCTAATTGGGTGACAACTGTCTGGACAGGGCCACTAACAACAGCCAACCTCACCCTCACCTGAAGTATTTGAAAGTTCCTAGAACCTTAACAGACACAGAGTAGCAGCCGCCCCATCTGTACCAGTCCCACAGCCTCCCACTCAGCCTCCTCCCAGCCACCCCCCAGGTTACTATTTGGCTCTCCTATGTACTTACATGGGAGAAGAGGAAACAGGCAAGCTTCCCCTGCCATGTTGCTGCTCATCATGATTCAGAGCCAAAAGGGCAGTTGGTGTCCCCAGGCTCCTTAGGGCCTTGGTTCTGGTGAAGGGGGTGATTTGCATCTGTTGCCACTTTGCAGCCAGTTCTGGGAAACAAAGGAATTTTCTCTGGCTTGGAACCAGAAGACCATAGTGAGTGTGTCAGCTAACAGGTCTTCCTGGAGCCCCACTGTGTGTCCATCTTCTGTACCAGGCTGAGCTGTGAGAGACGGGGTGGGGTGGGGGTGGGGGGTTCCTGGGAACTTCCAGGCAGCAGGAGTGGCTGGAAGGAAAGCCTGTGGGCAGGGCCATCAGGGAAGGCTCCATGCTGGGATGATTTGAATGCCTTATGTGCACTTGGCCTTGAAGGTTGGAGGTGAATGCCAAATTCTCCAGAGCAGGGCTGTGGCTTTGCCCACCTAAGGGAGGGGCCTGGCTTTGCCTCACTGTACAAACTGTAGCTCAAGGCCTAGAAAGAACCTATCTAGAGTGCCCTGCTTTAGAAACTTTCACCAAGCTTATGTGCCAGGCATCACGCTGAGCACTTTACAAAATACTGTTTTGATCCTGACGCAACCCTATTAGTTAAGTGATGTTTTATAGGTGAAGAAACTGAGGCACAGAGAGGTAAGTAACTGCCCACGTTTACACAAAAAGTAAAAAGCAGAGCCAGGCTTTGAATCCAGATGATCTTCCTATACTTTACCTCTTTACCATTGAGACCTGCTTTGTGCCAGACATTTTAAACACAGTTTATGTCATTAAGTAGAAAAGCAGTCATCATTTTCCCCATCACACAGATGAAACAAACTTGCAGGTATTGAGGGCTTCCTTGGGGTCCAGAGGAGCCACACCTGGTCTCCCTGGCTTTAATGCTTCTGCCTTTGGTGGAGATTACCCATTTGCAAATTTTAAGGGGGTACATTTACCTTCTCTGCATACTTGACCCAGCCTGGCCTGGGACCACAGGCTGCCAATGAAGACATGAGGGAGAGAGCCTTCTGGGAGCAAGGAGAGTTAGAGGCTCCTGATGTGCACCATGGACCCTTACCCCATTCCTTTCTCCCTCCTCAGCCAGTGTCATTGATGTCCTTATGCACTCTGCCTGCCTACTGGGTTGTACCCAGGGAGGACAGTGGCCTGGCAGGGGGTTTCCCTTGGAGCTACTTGTGGCAGAACTAGTGCAAGCCCTCCAAGCAATGCCCTTCAGCTGTCCCTCTTCCAGCTCTCCTGCAGGGCAGGGGCAGGCCTGCCCTTGAGGCTAAGGTCATTGATTTCTCTAGGCCTCTTCCCTCCTGCTTCCCTCCCCTACTCAAAGATTGAGTGAACCAGACTCTGGGATCTGTGGGAAAGGGGAACAAGGGCAACCTCCCCTACTTAATCCTTCTGCCCCAAGAACTGTTGCTAGGACAACCCACCCCCACAGAGAAATTTGGGGAAAAGCTTTAGGCAAGGAGGGAGAAGACATTGGTACAAATCCTGACTCTGCTCCTGTATCATTTTGTGGTCTTGAGCAGGGTCCTGATTCTCTCTCGGCCTCAGTTTCTCTGCCTCTTGGAGGGTGAGGGGATAGGAGATTGGGGGGCCAGATGATCTCTAAGAGCCTTCCTAGTAACAATAGTCTGAGAATCTCAATCCACCACCAGGGAGCTAGGACTGGGGTCTCGAGGCTTTACCCCAGGGCCTGAATTGGACTGAGTGATGAAGGAGCCTGTCTTGTGACCCCAGGGCCGGACAGAGTCTGCTATGTATGTGTTAAGGGGAGGAGTGGAGAACCTGAATTCCCCTGGGAAGAGAATTAGGTTGGTGTGGCCTCTGAGGCTGCATCTCTCCTGAGTTGTTTATCCCCTCTTTTTCCAAGGAGATGGTGTGAAATGAGTGTTTCTTTTTCTGGCCAAGAAAGCCTTGCTGTCTTCTATTCTGGGGAGCAATATTGTCACAGTCAGGGAATCCTGCTGTCACAAGGCTGTAAAATCTGGTCCTCAGATTCGTTTTCCATCAACACAATAAAACCCAACCCCCTGAATCCTGGAGGCCACCAGATGGTCCAAGAATAGTAAAGGCAAGAGAATCACAAACCTTAATTTGACCTGCCCAGTCCTAGACTTAGCACCATAAATGAACTGGGCAGGACCTTCTCCCAGGGAGCTCACAGCCTGTGTTAGGGAAGAAAGGAGACAGACTAATAACTCTAATAAGTACAGGATGATGAATGCTGTTGGAGGGCTTCCTGGAAGAATCTTCATTATAGAATAACATGGTCAGATTTGTGCTCTGGAAAGGCCACTTTGAATGGAGGGGACACATGCTATTTCCTCTGGTTGGAATACCTCTTTCCACTGCTTTGTCTGGCTAAGTCCTTAACCTTCACCTTTCAGCCCATGTCCCTTATTCTAGGAAGCATTTCCTCACCTCCCCTGGTTAGGTTGTGGCCCTCCACATACCCATGGCTCTTTGTGCAACAATCGTTTCCGCTAGCATTTGCCACACTGAATTTTAAGTGCTTGCCTCATTGGCTTATCTTAACCATAGACTGTGAGCTCTCTGAAGTTAAGAAATGGTGTCTTTTCTTCCTTTACCTAATACAATGCCATGCCTATAAGAAATACTCAGTATTGTTCCATGACTGAGTGGGTTAATTCTATCTTAAGGAAGGGCAGGGAAGATTTCCTAGAGGAGGTGGCATTTGAGCTGGGCCTTGAAGAATGAATAAAGTCAGATGGAATTGCAGTTCAAGATGGCATATTGAACAGATGCATTTACCTCCACTGCCTCCTGAAACTCCACTAAAAGTAGGATTACTTTAAAAGCCATGAAGCAACTATAACAACAAGAATAGGAGAAAAGATGATAGGAACAAAATTTTGGAAGCTGAAAAGCAGAAGGAAGAGTGATAATTAACTTAGTAAACCTGGAAAAAGTTGAATTCCAAGCCATCAGTGCATTTTGCACTGCGAAACCCTCAAAGGTCTCAGAAATTGGAAGCACCAGATGTTTCTAGAAGTGGGAGGTGCAAGTGGAGCTGAAAACTAAAGGGCTAGTGAATATCTGCTTAAGAATCATACTCTTAAGATCCCTTCCCTAACTGGGCAACCAGGTGCCAGCCAGTCCTTTACCCTAGCAGAAGACTAGAGATATAAGTTTTGGAAAGAATAGAACATATCAAAGGGAGCATAGGGAAGGGAGTGAGGGAAGAAGGGGAAAACAGCAGGAAAAGCATTTTTAGTATTAGAAGTTTTGCTTAATACATTTAGTTGGGTCATGAACTAGGACTGTTCATTTCACTGTTGATATACTTGTCCCCAGTATGAAACAACCAAAGATAATCTCTTTTATCATATGTCATCAATAGTCTTTATAGTCTGTGGTATTTTGGTTCTTTATGTCAATATCTCCATAATGAAATTGCAAGCTTCTAGACATTCAGATGGCCAACAGACACATGAAGAGATGCTGCACATCACTAATCATCAGGGAGATGCTATCCAAACCACAATGAGATATTACTTCATACCAGTCAGAATGGCCAGTATCAAAAACACAAGAAATAATACATGTTGGCAAGGACGTGAAGAAGAGGGAACCCTTACACACTACTGGTGGGAATGTAAATGGTGCAGCCATGATGGACAGTCCTCAAAAAATTGAAAATAGAAATGCCATATGAATCAGTAATTCCACTTCTAGGTATTTACCCAAAGAAAACAAAGTTGCTCATTTGAAAAGATGTATGCACTCCTGTGTTCACTGCAGCATTATTCACAATAGCCGAGGCATGGGAGCAATGGTAAGTGTCCATTGGTAGATGAATGGATAAGGAAGATGTGGTACTGGTACATATCTACTATGGAATATTATTCAGCCATGAAAAATGAAATCTTACCATTTGCCACAACATGGATGGACCTAGAGAGTATTATGCTAAGTGAAATGAATCAGACATAGAAAGGCAAATAGCATATACTTTCACTTATATGTGGAATGTAAAAAAATAAAACAAATAAAAAAACAAAACAGAAATAGACTCATAAATACAGAGACCAAATGGGAAGTTGCCACAGGGGAGTGGTGACAGGATGGGCAAAATAGGTGAAGGGGATACATAGGTACAAACTTTCGATTATAAAATAAATTGATCACAGGGATGAAAAGTACAGCATAAGGAATGTAGTCAGTAATATTGTAATAATTTTGTATGGTGACAGAAGGTAACTACACTTACTGTGGTGAGCATTTTGTAATGTATATAAATGTCAAAATACTGTTGTACACCTGAAATTAAATGTAATATTGTATATCAATTATACATCAATAAAAAAAGAAACTGCAAGCTTCTATTAAGCAAGGACAGTTAATGGAGACATTATCTTTGTAATTATTAAAAGATCCAGGTATGCAATAATGATTTGTTTAATTGAATTAGAGTTGTGATATTCTCCCCAAAACATAAATAACTTCAGGTACCAAATTTTGTTCTGTGCCTATGCCATAATAAGTAGGTTAACCATAGTAATATATAAAACCAAAGAGGTTTATCACTTATTGATTAACTAATACTTGTCAGGCAAAATGCTATGCATGTTAGTATGTTCCTTCCATTTCTTAAAATAAATCATTAAATTGGATATTATCCTCATTTTACAATGAATAAATGAGAGTTTAAAAGAGAAAAAAATTTCAACTTCATATGGCAAAACTGCAATTTGAATCCAGGTCTGTTTAATTCCTGTGCCTGTATTTTTCTCAATGTACAAATACTTGGTCTTATTCTGGTCTATCACTGTAGATGTTAAAAAGTTAAACTCTCTCACTGTTAAACAATTATTTCCTGAATAATTCAGTAAACATACATCCAGTGGTATATATATTAAAAACAAACAAACAAACAAAAGAACCAGAGGGCTCCAGACTGGGAGACACCAAGTAAAGCTGAGGGCAAGAAGGATTTAATAAAAATGTACTAAATATTATGAAATACCTCTCCCAGGCTTTTCCCTACTCCTACTTGGCTTCTCAGAATATTGGCAGCTTTGCTTGCATTATACTCTCTAGATAGGTATAATGTGGTGACTGTGATGAACCCAGGAAAAAAAAACAGAAGAAGATACTAACTTCAGGCCTTAGCCAGCCAGACAGCCCAGACAGATAACCCTCAGTGAGGTCGAGGCGGCAAGTCTCACTCATGCTTGCAGCTTCCTGTCAGCCTTTCAGAGACCGCTCTGAAGTGTGAGCAGGAGCTGAAGATCTAAAGACATCTGATGAGACCCTCTGACTAGGTAGACTTAAGGAGAAAAAAGCAACTTGAATGAAGTGGAGATTATACAGAGAGATAAGACTTATAAAAATCATTAATTATATCCTTAGAGAGGTAAGAGATAACACTGCAGCCATGAACAAAAACAAGAAGCTATAGAAAGGAAAACATTCAGAGAATTAGAAACAACTCTTGGAAATAAAACCATAATAGGAGAAAATGAAAAGCTAAATGGAAGGATTGATAATGTTGAAATATTTCAGAAACCAGAACAAATATAGAAAGAGATGGAAGAGGGAAAAAAAATAGAGGATCAGTCCAGAACCCCTCTATCCAAATAATAGGATTTCAGAAAGAATAGAAAAATATTGGAGGAGAAATAATAAAGAAATAGTTAATAATTATTATTCAATTATTATTCAATTTAATTATTAAATTCCCAGAATTGAAGGACATGGATTTCCATATTCAAGGGCCCAAAAAGTGGTCAGTTCAATGGATGAAAATAGGCCCGCACCATGGCATATTACTGTGATAATTTAGAACACTGGGAACAAAGAGAAGATCTTAAAAACTTCCAGAAGGACTGAGAAAATGGTCACATGCAAAAGAACTAAGAATCAGAAATGTATCAGGCTTTTTAAGTGTAACACTGAAGAATTAGAAGACAATGTAACAATGCCTTAAATCCTGAGGAAAAATTATTTTCAACCTATAATTCTGTGCCTAGCCAAACCGTCAACAGTGGGAGGAGAGAACAGCAACATTTTAAAACACATCAAGTTTCAACAAAAACACTTCCTATGCAAACTTTCACAGGAAGCTACTGGAAGAAAAGCTCCCCACACACAAATGAAGGAGTAAGTTAAGAAAGAGATGACATGGGATCCAGGAAATGGGATACAATTCAGGAAAGAAGCAAAGGGAATCCCTAAAATGATAGTGAAGGGAGATGCCTGGAGGACAGTGCACTGCAGGGGCAGATTAGAGCAGATCCGAAGGCTCGTAAAGAGCTGTGTCTGAGAAGACAGGAGAGACAGAACGTATGATGTGTTTAAAAGCCTTGAGAGGGAGATTCACATAATTGGGAGTTTGGGGATGATTTACTGATATTTATATATACAGTAAACTAAAAAAAACAGTAGTAGTAATAGTAGTAATGCTGTGTATGATATATACTATTATTTATATAGGAATGTTAGTAATGTCTAAGGAAAACATAAAGGTATAAGAAATAGAGAGTAACCATAGTAAACCACGTGACTTAACTGTCAACAGCATTTCTAAATCCTAATAGGGTAAACACTAACTAATTTTACAGCATATTTTGGGAATAGACGGAATAGGAGGGGTACTGTATGGCAGAGCTGTAGAAAGAGTTAATCTTCTATCATGTGGGAGGTCAGTATAAAACATATATAAAACTCTTGGAAATAAAAACTTAAAAGTCAATAAATAACATGTTATTTGGAGATTAGAGGGTGAGTACCACAATAAACAGCTAAAATAATTAATAGTAGTTATCTCTGGGAAGTGGTATTTAGGATTTGGATGAGAGAACTGTTACTTTTCATAATAAATCTTGCAGTATTGTTTGCTTTGATTAAAAGTAAAACTAAATAAAATGAAATTTAACAAGTTATGTGTGGCAGGACCTGGGGTTCCCAGGAAGTATGAGTTGAAGCTGGAGAGATGGGCAATAGCTGTATAATGACAGGCTTTTGAATGCCAACTGCTTTAGTGTTTAGATTTTATTTTCTAAGAGTAGTTAAAGCCCATAAAGTCTCTTGAGCAGTTGGGGGACAGGTTCAGACTTGTATGGAGGAAGATAACTGAGTGCCTCTGAGCTAGAAGGGACCCTAGAGATTACCTGGTAAATCAATTTAACTCCCACTACAGACAGACAGGCTGGTGTGTGGTGGAGGGAAGCTCTGAACCCCAGCCAGTGGGAGTCTGACCCTGCAAAACTCTAGTCAACCAATTAATACCTGGCTCCTTGTCAGGCTATTTTGTGGCTGTTTCTAAGTCTTACTGGTGAATCTGGACTACTTCAATCGTTAATATCCTATCTATGGAGTTCAAAGCTCAGTAGAATCGAATTTTAATACTTAACATTTACTGAGACCTTCTCTGTGCCAGACACTGTGCCAAGTTTTAATAAACAGCATCTCAAAATTCTCACAGCCACCCTGTGAGGTGAGTGATCTTGCCCTGTTATATAAACAAGGAAGCTCGGGCTCAGAAGAAGGTAAGAAAGTTGCCCATGGTCATAGTAGAACTGAGATTTTAAACAGCAATCTGGGCTGCTTCTAAAGCCCACTCTCTAAAACATTCAGGAAACCATGCTTCTTGAAATTGAAGCATAATTAGTTGGACCACAGGGTAGGGCCTCTGGAAACTTTGAGGAAACCCGCAGCCAAGAACTGGGACTGATTCCTTCTCCACTCCCCTAGGCTTACCTGCGAGCCATCGACGTGAAGATCCTGCAGCAGCTGGTGACCTTGAATGAGGGCATTGAGGCGGTGCGGTGGCTGTTGGAGGAGAGGGGGACGTTGACCAGCCATTGCAGCAGCCTCACCAGCAGCCAATATAGCCTGACAGGTGGGAGCCCTGGCCTCTCAAGGCAAGGCAGCTGGGAGAGCCTGCCAGACACCAGCATCACTGACCGGCTGGACAGCATCTCTATCGGCAGCTTCCTGGACTCAGTGGCCCCCAGTGAGCTGGATGAGCAGGGCCCTCCTGGGGCTCCCTGTCCTGAGAGGGACTGGGCAAAGGTCACACCCAGTGGGGAGAGGGCCAGGCCTGAGGTGGACCTAACAGTCACCAGACTAGGGAGCTTGAGGGCTGTGTGGAAGACTCCAGGGGCAGAGCTCCAGGGTGGACCTCCTGAGCCACCAGAAGATGAGAGTGCCAAGCTGGGCTTGGAGGCCCACTGGTACTGGGGGCAGATCCAGGATGATGTTACCTTCTTGTAACAACTCTTCCACCCTTTGTACTCCTATTGCTCTTTCATCACTAGACCCTGGTCTCCCTCACAATTTATTCTCCCTTAATCTGGGACAAGGACAAGGCTACGTTGAAGTCAGTTACCATGAAAACCTGGCCTTACCATCCCTCTGGGTCGCTGTGGAAGCTCTGCCTTTATCCTTCAATTTTTGGGTCCCTAGAGCTATTTCCATAGATACATTGGCTCTAGAGGTTTGACCTGTGGTTCCTGGTGTGATGCTATCTCTTCCCCTTCCCCTATCTACTAGGTAAGGATTGGAGGGATTTAGGACTCTAGATCAGTGATGATGAGAGATGGGGATGTAATTATCTCACCCAACGTCTAGGAGCCTTGGCCCCTTAAGGCCAAGATGGAGGTTTGCAGAAGGACATGGACATTCAGGGCCAGCCCTCCATGGATTGGCCCTCCCAGAAGCCTTTGGGGCTGGCAGAACCATCCCTTCTTGTCTGGAGTGATGTCATTTCCTGCCAGAATGGGTTAATGTTTCCTCTGTCCTTTAGTGGTGACTGGTCCCTGTAGGGTGGCTGAGCCCCTGGTGCTGAGTGAGACCATACCATTTATTCTCCATACCATTACATCTTGTGAGTAGGAACATTTCACCCCTCCTGGCAGGGAACTTTCTCACTGTCACATGTTTGTGCTTATCTTCAGAAAGGTTCTTACTTTTTAAACAGAATGTTCTCATTTTATCCTAGGGGATCTCACATCCACTGTGGCCACATCCCTGTCTGATGCCAGCCCTCCTGAAACTATGCTTTTTAGGGAGGGAACTGGCAGGGGCCTCCAAGTCTGCCCAGGGCTTTTAAGTCTGTCTAGCCTGCCCTGCCACAATCCCTTGTCTACCCTGGCCCTGGGTTGCCCTCATTCTTGTATTCTGGCTCCAAATCTACCTGCCAAAAGACTCAGCCTCTGTGTCTCCACACCTTCTCTCTCTGCACTCCAGGCCTCAGGCCTTTTATATCCAGAGGAGGCTCCCAACCTTCTCTTCCTCTTGCTGATGGGAACTACAGGGAAGCAAATCTTGAGGTCTCAGAGCTCTGGTGGTTTACTAGAACTTCCAAGGTGGAGAATTGTCTTCTCCTGTGATCCTGTGATTCCCCTTCCCCCACCCTGCCCCAGACCTTCCACCATTTGGTCACAAGGATGCCTGTCAGGCTGGATGGAACACAAGGAATCCCCTTGTCTGGGTTACAATGGTGGGGCGGGGCAGGGAAAGACAGAGGCTCTTTGATCCTAGGGCCCACATCCTGGGAGCAGGGAAAGACTGAGGGAAGGGCATTTTTCTTCCTTCATTAGAGCAAGCCCTAGACTCCTGGGACCTGAGGAGGGAGCAGGGGACAGGCTCTGGGCCTGGGTCCCAGGGCCCTAGTGAATTATACCAAAGAAGGAATTCAGAGATGCTGCCAACATAGGGCTCAGGGAGGACAGGCTGTGGGCGACAAGGTCTGTGGCTGACGTCAAAGAATGAATTCTTGGAGATTAACCGCTTGAAACCCTGGTAACTGCCCATATATGTTGGTTCCTATTTTCCCTAGGCCCTGAAACTAGATTATTGGAAGGCGACAAGGAGAGAAATGGATGTCAGGTGACCTTGCCTATTTGCTGTGCCCTCCTGAGTTGAAGGAGCCTTCTCTAAATCCTCAAATAACTCCTGCGATGTGTCTACTTTTCATTCTATGCTGGGGAAGGGAAGGATCCCAAGGCAGTCATCTCCACTTCCTCTAAACTCACCAAATCTTATTCTGCAACCCCCCCCCCACAATCCTTTTGGGCAGTACATTCAGTCCATGGCTCTCCCCTAAGGAGTCCCTCTTCTCCCATCCCCTCAAAGTGACTGAAATCTCTTAAGTATGTCTATACCCTCTCCTACTGTACTACCCACCTCTCATCACTTCTCCTGAGTTTGGGGCTCCTGACTTCCCCTCAGGCAGGGAATTCAATACTCGTTTCCAGTGCCTACTCTGTTGCCATTTTGTAGTGTGCCCTTGGATAAACTACCTTTTCACTTGGGAGCCTTGTATTCCTTTTTGAAGCTTACTTGTTGGTTTAGGCTACAAACTTCTGAGCTGAAGAGGTTGCCCGCCCTCTTGTGGCCATCTTGCATCATTGCCAGGCATAGATGGTTAGAGCCTCCAAAACTCAACTATAGACTTACAGACCAGCCCTCTTCAGGGCATAGACAGGCTAGGGAGTCAGGCCGAGAGAGGGCAGAGACTTGCCCAGTGTCATCCACTGTAAGTCCGTGGCAATGCCAAGGCTGAGACCACAAATCTCTTGCCCGCTCACCTGCCCACAGTGCCAACACTTGGCCACATTGGTCCCCCACCCCAACCAGTCAACCCCACCCAAGACCAGAGACTGAAAGCAGTTTCACCTGTTTTTAATATTTAAGTTCTCACCTGACCCTAGAGAGGCAGCTCAGTGTTTAGAGAAAGAGCTACATGCTCTGAGGAAAGAGAACGTTGGACCTAAATTGGGTAAAGCATGCATGAACCTAGACCACAAGACATAAGGAAAACCAATCCTAGACCACTTTCTCTGGGAAGGCCAGTAGGCCCAGACATCATGGGGGGCAGAGAGTTCAGCATTTCAGACCTGGAGGCTAGAAGTTGGGTGGGGGTGGGAGCTTTGAGATTAGGCTGTCTAGATGGGTCCTGAGGAGTTGTAGGGCTCTGCAGGTCAGGGTTGGCAGCACAGCTGGATAAAGGCAGAGAGGGGACTGCTCATGACAGCTGCAGAAACAGTGCCTGGGAGGACAAAGGGTGGTGCTGGCCAGGATGAGAGATCATGTGAGTGGGTAACTGTGAGCACTCTAGGATGCAGGCAGTGAGGCTGGGCCCTGGACTGACGGGAAGCCCAGTGGCAGCTTAGGTAAGAGGTGCCTGATGCCAGGCATCCTCTAGGTATCTAGTGATAATAATTGAATGAATGGAGAAATGAATGTGTATAAACCCCCAGGAGATGTGACTTTTTTTTAAGTGGGCAATTAGTAATAGGTAATTTAAAACACGATTCTATTTAAATCTTAGCAACCGTATAAACAGCACATTAATAATGTTGCTTAGACGTTTGCTCAAGGTCAGGTAGGTACTGAATGAACTTTAATATGATCCTAGGTCGGTCTGACTGCAGGGGCTTCCAGGAAGTCTTCTCTGATTCCCACTCCTCACCACAGACCTTATTCTCCTAAGTGAATAGGTCATGCTGCCCAGCAGGGTCAGCGTACTAGTTGCCTATTGAGGCTATAAGAATTACCCAAAACTTAATGACTTAAAGCAACACAAATTTATTATCGTGCAGTTCTGGAGGTCACCAGTCTGAAATCAATTTCACTGGGCTAACTTAAAGTCAAGGACTTGACAGGCCTGCATTCCTTCTAGCGACTCTAGTCATTTCTTTGCCTTTTCCAGTTTCTGGAGGTTGTTTGTGTTCCTTGGTTCACAGCCCCTTCCTCCAGCTTCAAAGCCAGCAGCACAGCATCTTCTCTCCTCTCTGACCTCTGCTCTTATCCTTCCATCTTCACTAACTCTCCTGTCTCCTCTTAGGAGGATTATATTGTGATAATGTATCCTTGTGATTACATTGGGCCTACTGGAAAATTCCAGGATCATCTCCCCACATCAAGATCCTTAATTTAACCATATCTTCAAAGTTCCTTTTATCATAGAAGGTAAAATGTTCACAGGTTCTGGGAATTAGGACATGAACATCTTTGGAGGAAGGGGCATTATTCACCCCATCACAGGCAGAGATGGAGGGTGTGCAGGAGGAGGTACCCAGGCCCAGAATGAGCTTCTGTCCTTTGCCCAGCCTCTGTCAGCCCAGAGTGGGGGACAGTGTCACAGGGGAGGTGGACAGACCTAGGTCCTGTGTCTGGAGAATGGCAAGTGCCTCCTGCATCATCACTACCAGCAAGAGCTGAGAGTGAAGATCAGACTTGGGAGAAATTCTCAGTTTAGGGAACTCTCCTGGTGACCATGGTGGAGGGTTCCAGTAGGCTCTGTCTTCAGTATTGCCTCCTTTCCAGAATCATTCTGTGCTTTTTAAGGCAGAAGATAACTACCACCAGTGAACCAGCCTGAGTTCTCTCTGAAGAGGATAGATCCACTGTCTCCTTTTAAAATTATTTTTAATTTATTCCTTAATAGTTAAACCATGCTCCTCAGAGCATGGTGAACTCTCATCGTCAGTGGATACTGGGCCCCTTTGTTTTATTTTCTTCTTTTATCCCTTATCCTTAGTTTCATTTGTCTCCCTGACCTGGTGTACACATATGTGTTCAGTATGTGTTTGGAATGTATCATTGAAAATATATATAATTATGTGTTTTAATATATATAAATGGTATGCTTTTACAATTAGCTAACTTCTATATAGAATTACTCCATATTTCAGTGATTTAACACAATAAAGATTTATTTTTCACCTACATAGGAGCACAGGTATTCCTGCTTGGACAGCTCTCTTCCACTGCCCATTTCAGGTCCCAGCGTCCTTCCATTTTCAGGGGGTGATAGCCTGATT